GGGAAAATAAATAATACAGCAAAACTAAAATGTCATGCATCAGGAAAAGGTTTTTAATTGAGACCCTAAAACCCATAAGGCATTGATGGCAGGTGACAAAGGGCCAGATGTTAAAGGCCAATGGACTCTTTTCTAATAAAAATACTGCTACAAAGACACAAACCTCACCCTTTCAAATTGCCCAGAGCTCAAATCATATATAATGCCAGTGAGTGATAACCACTTTATTAGCAACTGAGTTATAAGTTTAATTACCAGCTTTATTACTTATCTCAGAGCCAAGTTTCATGAGAGGATTCAATGCAACTTCAGACTTTAAGACTCTCTTAACTTTAAGATACCATAGTTGTGACTGTTATTAACCACTCTGCCTGGAGCCCAGAAAGACTGCCCAGCTTTGACCAGAAGGGAAACAGGTCTGAGAATGGGGTACCACCTTAGGTTGGTTGAAGAATTAAGGATGCAAAGAGGTGCTCACCCTAACCATCATGACACTCTCTGTACAGTTCAAAGTCTGACTTCAAAGCTACTATTTCAATCACACATTGAACTGATTGCTCTTAATCTACACCTTGCTTCCTCTAATACCCTTTTATCATGACCTTATCAGCTGCCAAACCAACATACCTCAAACCTTTCAAATATTGTCAGCTTTCCCAACCCTACCATCCCCCTAAAATCTCTTGTGAATCTGGCTCTCGTTCCTCAAATAAGGGTCACATTTCATTAAGTTTGCTGGAGAAGCATCAATTACAGGGGACCATAATGTTCAAAAACATTTGGACTTTGTCTAATAGCAATGACTGGAAACAAGATGAATAGTGAACTCGGGAGAACTGGTACAGTGAGTTCTGATTTACCCACATGGGCCAACCCTGAGATACTTTTAAATAGAATGAACTGGATGTGTATATTCTGCTGAAAAAATACAGTATTAAGTGAAAAGTCCAAGTTCTAGACAATAGTGGACAGTGTGATTCTAAGTGCATGTAAAAATATCTATATCCACTTTTTGATTCACTCAGATGTTCATTTACTCATTTGTTACACATTTGTTATGCATCCACTATATGGTGTTGTCACCTGGACAGGTGAAGATAATTTTTTTTTTAAAGCCTAGTATTTTACTGGGATGGGGGAGACAGAAAAAAGGAATAGAGGTTCCATCTGGGATGATAAACAAATCCTAGAACAAAATGGGAGTCATGGTTGCACAATATTGGGAATGTACTTAATGCCACTGACTAGTCCATTTTAAAATGGTCCATTTTAGGGAATTCCCCGGATGTCCACAGGAAGTGGTTAGGACTCCACCCTTTCACTCCCAGCGCTGGGTTTGATCCCTGGTGGGAGAACTGAGATTCCCTTAAGCCATATGGTGCATCCAAAAAAAAAAAAAAAAAGTCCATTTTAGGTTATGTGCAGTTTACCACAATAAAAAAAAATATCATCGAAATCATTTCAGAATAAGTGAAATGAAGACAATAAACAGGGGGCTGTGGTAGATGGTGCCCGACAGGTGTCTGCTTTAGGCAATCAGGGAGATCCCCTCGGAGCACGACCAAGGTGAGGTTGGAGTCACAACCGAGAGTCAGCTACACAGTCGTGGGGACGAGCATCCCAGGCAAGGGGACAGTAAGAGCAAAGACCGCAGAGAGGGCTCTCCTAGGGACCAGAAGAAGGTCCACGCGGCCAGGCCACACTGAGGGCCAAGGGAGGGAAAGAGTGTCAGCCACTGAGAGCCTTGTATATGTACATCTACCATATACATGGTTTTCTTAACTAAAAACAAAAACTGTACATGTTGTATCTGTATGCATATATAATATGGTTATATACATGCACGCACACACATGTATGCATAATCTATGCTGCCGGCGCTGGTGCTGTCTTGTCTGACTCTTTGAGACCCCATGAACTATATAGCCCACCAGGCTCCTGTGTCCATAGGATTTCCCAGGCAAGAATATTGGAGTCGGTTGCCATGCCCTCCTCCAGGGATCTTCCTGACCCAGGGATCAAACTCGCATCTCCCGTGTCTCCTGCATTGCAGGCAGACACATGATAGATATTTAAATACATATACACAAATATGTACATGTTGCATAGACATATATACACAGACATGCAAATAATTAAGACTTGGAAAGAAAACATAGAAGAGCTTTGCAGAAAAGCAAAACCACAAAATTACAAATTTAAAATGACAAAATCTCAAATCTACATAGATAGCTGGCTTAAGGGTGGATTAACTTTATAAAGTAGCTCTTAGGGACCAAATTTACAGAACATCTATAGGGCAAGGCAGAATACCTGAGTCTTCCTCAGAGCCAGCATTTCATAGTGATTAAGAGACCGTGTAGACACTTCATTGATCTCTGGCAGAGTGACTCCAAGCAAGATCTGCCGCAATTAGTTAATTAAGAAAACTTACTTTGGGAATATTTTAAGATTTTCTTCTCTCTTTTCCTTTTTGTTATTTATTGTCTCCCAAACTTTTCAGAGAACGTTACTGTCTAGCAAATGCTTTCCCTACTTAACGATATTCTGTATTCTTAATATCTGTTCACCTGTTTCCATTAATCTATTCATCCATTCGTTCTTCCTTCAGTCCTTCTATCCATCTATCCATCATCCATCCTTCCATCTATCTACCCATCCTTCCTCCCATCCATACATCTGTCCTTCAGTCCTTCCACCCACCTGTCCATTATCCATCCTTCCATTCATCTCCCATCCTTCCTTCCATCCATCCATCCTTCAATTCTTCTGTCCATTATCCATCCTTCCATCTCCCCATCTTTTCTTCATCCATCCTTTTATCTATTCATTCAATAACTATCACACAGCCCTGCCATTTATATTGTTTATTTGGCAACTACCAAAAGGAACTGTACACCATTTTTTACTTCAACAGTCAGATCTGAGACATCTGTATCTATCACCCAAGATGGAAAACAAGAATAGCCACACCAGGTAGTATTAAGGTGCTGATTGGGGGCCAGGGAACAGCCTAGCCTACAGCCTCTGATCTCTGGTTTTCTTAAGCCAAAAATATCACAGCAGAGCAATGAGAAAAGAATGACACCCAACCAATCGGGGTTCAGAGCCCACCTCTTCCATTTGTCTACTGGGTAGCCTTGGAAAGGTCATTTCACCTCTCTGACTTCCAGCTTTCAATGTTCTCATCTGTCAAGTGGAAATAATAACCCAACTATGACACGTATTGTGAGGATTAAGGGAGCTTATGAGCATAAAGCCGCTGGACTACAGAGTACCTTCAAAATACCGAGTTCTTTCGCTTCTCAGCAGCAAATAACCCCATGTCCTAAACAAAACCTCCACGTAAGACTCCCTCACAAACACACACACCCCTCTTCTATTATGGATTCAGAATGCCTTTGGAGGGAGGAGAACAGGACCTCGGGAAGAGCTCTCTGAATCTCAGCTTCCTCCCTTACCAAACAGAAAGAGTGAACCTTACCTTAGAAGAATGAATGCAAAGATTCACAGAACCATGAAGCTATTCGTCCGCTAGCAGGAACTCAGCAGGCAATTTGTCCAGGCTAGTTTCCTTTTCTTCGCTCTCTTTCCCCCAAAGTCAGGATAAAGGCAGCATTCCTTAGCATGACATTGTTCACACAATGTGATTTCACCCACTCCTGACCTGCCCTCAAGGCTTCCTCCTCCACTTTCTCTGGATTTTCATTTCTAGAGCTCTAGAGCTGCATATGGTGGCCACTTGTGGCCCGTTAGCATTTGAAAAGCGGCGAGTTCGAATCATCATAGGTTGTAAGTATAAAACACTGGACTCTGAAGATGCAGGGTGAAAAAAAATGTAAAGTATCTCATCAATATTATGTTGAGGACCTGTTAAGGTGATTTTTTAGATATCATGTTTCGACAAAATGTATTATTTTTTAAATGGCACTGTTTCTTCTTATTTTCCTTATTATCAGTGTGACCACCATGAGATAAACACCGCACATCATATTTGTCCCAGTGGACAGCGCTGCTCTAGACCCCTCCCTTCCTTGCTGTGGGGGGCCCCAGGTCCCGATTCTCACACCGTTCCGGGTTTCTAGGTTGAGGTATACCTTTTAAGAGAGTCGTTTTCCGCCCTAGCTCTCTCCGTGAGCCCTCTTTAAGGTTCTGCCTCCAAAATCGCTGGATTATCTGGGGACTGGCCCGATTGTTTTGGCTCCAACCCGTCTGTAGGATGAGACTGCAGTTCCCCCAAGGAGGCTTCTCCAAAAGTGGTTACAATCAGGGGCAGTTTGGGTGGGATAACCCCATGGTTAATGATGTCCCAAGGGGACCTCATGCATACCTATGAGGCTCATAAAATTCAATCATGGATATATTAATGGGGTCTTGCGGGGGCTGGGATCATAGACAAGAATGTTAATGAACAGAGGAGAAAGAGTTCCTGGATATTGAGCTACAAGGAAGTGGACAGGTTTCAGCTGATAATGAAGCTCCTAGAGCCTGAGAATTTTCCAGAATGAAGGGAAGTGTGTGTGTGTGTGTGTGTGTGTGTGTGCGCGCGCACGCACTCAGTTGTGTCCAACTCTGCAACCCCATGGACTGTAGCCGACAGGCTCCTCTGTCCATGGAATTTTCCAGGCAAAAGTAGTCTCGGAGTGAGTTGCCATTTCCTACTCATGGAGATCTTTCCGACCCAGGGATCAAACCCGAATGCTTTGCATCTCCTGCATTGGCAGGCAGATTCTTTACCACTAGCGCTGCCAGTAGTTTGGTTTTTTTATGAACAAGGAAAGAAAGCAACAATTACTATAACCGAGTCCAAGTTTGTACTGCTCACTGCATGACTGACCAATTAACCTTACTTCTCAGAGTTGTGGGATGTAAGTGACCATAAATGGTGCATTGCTCATTCCCGGAACTGCACAGTCGCCTGTAACTCATTAGCTAGATTATCAAGGGCCACGAGAGAACCTTGGCTCACACCGAAGGTTCACGGAGCGTATACTGAGATGTTTGTATTCCTGAAGCAAACCTGCTTCCCCAGGCAGCCTCTTTGGCATCCTGCAGGGGATTCTTCAGCCCTGGCTTTCGAAGACCGGTAAGGTCCAAGACTTGGTTGACTCTGACTGCTCCCATGATCCTTGTTTGCGTGGAAACAACTGGAAATTCCTTGTGATGACTTCTAATCCTTGTCTTATTGAATACCAACTTATTATTGTGTGTGTGTTTGTGTGTGTATCTTCCTGTGAAAAAGGAGGAGGTCTGGCTTTGGGGCCAAGAGAGAGAGAGAAGAGGAAGGTGAAGAAAGAAGAGGAGGTGAAGGTGGAGAAGGCAGGTGAGAAGAGGAAAGGGAAGGAGGAGACTGGGGTTGATGGAAAAACAGAAGAAGGAGAAAGAGGAGGGGGGATGAAGGGGAGGGGACAGGGAGGAGACGGGTTGTGGCTATAAAGTCCCGAGGGCTCACCCCTGGTGGACCACTGCTGCCTGGAGGGAGGAGCATGGCGCTGCCCGTGGGGCTTCTGCTGCTTTCAGTCTCCTGGCTCCACAGTGTGGCCAGTCCCCAGCATGGAGGTGAGGAGCGATGTGACAGTAGCTGGGGCTGGACATTTGAAAACCTCTCCGGCCATATGTAATCAAATCAGAGACGCCATGATGGGTAAGGGCCATCTTTATCTCATGGTCCCTCAGAAAGAAAAAGATACTCTTTGTATTTTTTTTTTATTTTTGAAAATAAAATAGACACAATCCACTGATGAACTTTTTTTGTTGTTGTTTTTAGAAAATTCGTTTGGCATGTGGAATCTTAGTTCCCTGACCGGGGATTGAACCCATGACTTCTGCATTGGCAGCATGGAGTCTTAACCACTGGGCCACCAGGGAAGCCCTAGGCTTTTTTTTTTTTTTTTTTTAAAGATGATTTGACAAAGAACAGGAATGTGAATTAGAAAATTTTGTTGACAGAAGTCATGTTCCTTGATGACCACGTGTCTCCTTTCATGCTAATATATTTTGTTTATGTACTTTTGTCTTGTTTTTGGGGGGGGATGAAAGGTTTGGCTACACAGTGAGGCTTGTGAAATTTTAGTTCCCGGGGCCCTTGGCAGTGAAAGCACGGAGTTCTAATCACTGCTCCACCAGGGAATTCGCATGCTAATATATTTTAAATGCCTTATGAAGATGTTTTGAAAATGGAACTAATTTTTGGAAAGACTGTTTAATTCTTTTTACCAAAATCATGTTGCCTTCAACTGCTATAAAGTGGCAATAAAAGAAGGGATTTCATTATGGGTGCATTTCTTACATGTCTGAAGAGACTTACATAGAGTTGGCAAAACAACTTTTTTATGGAATGGCAAAAAACTATGATCCTGCACAAACTACTCTCAAGTATTCTTCAGGTGGTCTTTGCATGGAAAGATAAATCAAACATAGTATTGATTAAATTTTTTTTAAAAAGGAAAAGATGCTTTTGGTATGACTAGTACTACCTTATAAGTTAGATTTTTTTTACACTTGTTGAAAAACAACACTTTTGCTTATACATAGGTTTTTTACAAGATGTCACTTTTGTACATTCATAAGAAGGAAAGTATACATGAAAGAAGCTAGTTAAGATGTTCCTAAAATTTCTCTGCTTGTTGTATCTGGCCTTCTGAATTATTAAAGTCATATTTTTCCATATAACATTATCTTTTGGCTGCACAGAATCTCAGTGATGGCAGCATTTCTTGAAATAATGCATAAAACAATTAAAACTCATTGGTCCTGGGCAGTGAGCCAGTCTTAACAAGTAGGTAGCGGGTGATCTACTTTGAGTCTTTGAGACTGTTGCTTATTCACTGCCTCTCTCTCCTCTTGTAACCAGAGGTTAAGAAAGCCGATTCTTGTCTCCAGGGGTTTCTCTTTTGAGCCACAGACATCCATACTACTCGTTTTGATGCTGACTTCTTGAATACTGTCATCTTCAGTGCACGCATAACCACCACGTCTCCATAGCAACCTGATCTACAGATAATAAGATGCCAGCAGGAGTAAGGGGGCATTCTGATATTGGAAATGTTTGAATATGAAAAGCCAAGTATTTTAGCATCTTAGGAGCGATGAGATAGTAGGTTTTGGATCCTGTGTGGTAAAGAATCTGCCTGCAAAGCAGGAGACCCAGGTTCAATCCCTGAGTTGGGAAGATCCCCCGGAGAAAGGAATGGCAACCCACTCCAGTATTCTTGAGTGAGAAATTTGCCGTGCACAAAGCGTAATTTCTCCACTAGAGCAAGCTTCGAGGGGTACTCAGGGATCCCATGACAGTGGGGTCACTTGCAGGAAGGACTGTCCAGGCAGGCAGACCCTGACATGCCATGTGAACCCAGAGTTCTGGGATTGTCATCCATTGCCTGTTACCATTTCAGTCTCCTGTGGGGTTGGACTGCCCACTGGCTAACACTAATAGTTAAACTTCAGCAAAGTGTTAGTCGCTCAGTCGTGTCTGACTCTTTGCAATCCCACGGACAATAGCTCACCAAGCTCCTCTGTCCGTGGAATTTTCCAGGCAAGAATAGTGGAGTTGGCTGTCATTTCCTTCTCCAGGGTGGGTGGCTGCAGTCCATGGGGTCACAAAAGAGTCGAACATAACTTAGCGAGTAAACTGCAGTGACAACATTCACAGAAGGAGTTTGACTGGTTTAGACACTTCATATAAAGTGGAATCATGCAGTGTTTTCCCCCCTAGGTCTGGTTTATTTCTCTTGGCATAATATGCCCTCCAGATTCATCTGTATCTTTGCCCATGGCCAGATTTCCTTCCTTTTAAGGCTGAAAAATATTCTATTCTGTATATGAACCACATCTTTATCCATTCATCATCGATGGACCTTTAGGTTGCTTTCATGTCTTGGTTACTGTAAATAGTGCTTCAATGATATGATATGCTAGTGCAGATCTCTTCAGGATCCTGGTTTCAGTTTTTTCAGATAAATACCCAAATGTGGGGTTACTGGATCCTATGGCAATTCTATTTTGAATCTTTTGAGAAACTTCTTAGGGGCTGTACTATTTTACATTCCTACCACGAATGCTGCATAATTCTTTGCTGTTGTGATTAGGTCAGGTTTCCTTTTAAAAATATTTAAAATATTTGTGTTATGCAAGCATTTCCACATACTCCAAAGAGTTGTCTAATGCCCTCCCTTCTGTGTGAGTGGAAGGAAAATTTTCTAGCATTAAGCAGTGAGGCTCACATTATAATTTTATGTAGTACACAGGTGATACTGTGAAACAAGTATTGGGTTGGCCACAAAAGTCTGCTCAGGTTTTCCTATAAAATATTATGCAAAAATCTGAAATGAAATCTTTTGGCCAACCCAGTATCTTGTACATTGGCTTGAATCTTATTAATGATGACAGTTGTGATGAAATGATGGTGATGATGATGATGGTGATAATATTTCAGTAGTTAGAACATTCTTGGTAACAATAGCAGCTACAGGCTATTAAGTTCTTTGTTTCAGGCACTATTCTAAGTACTTTATATGTGTAATAATCTGTTCCTCCTAACAGTCCCTTGTTGTTCAGTCACTCAGTCGTGTCCCATTCTTTGCGACCCCATGGACTGAAGTCCAGCAGGTTCCCCTGTCCTTCACTATCTCTGGGAGTTTGCTCAGACTCATGTCCAGGGAATCAGTGATGCTATCCAACCATCTCATCCTCTGCCGCCCCCTTAACAGTCCCCTGGGGTAGGTAAAGTTTTGGTCCTCATTTTATAGAAGAAAATCTGAGGCACTGTGGTTGGAAACAGTGAATGACTTTATTTTTTGGGCTCCAGACTCACTGCAGATGGTGATTGCAGCCATAAAATTAAAAGACACTTGTTCCTTGGAAGAAAAGCTATGACCAACCTAGACAGTGTATTAAAAAGCAGAGACATGACTTTGCCAACAAAGTCCGTCTACTCAAAACTATGGTTTTTCCAATAGTCATGTATAGATGTGAGAGTTGGACATAAAGAAAGCTGAGTGCCAAAGAATTGATGATTTTGAATTGTGGTGTTGGAGAAGACCCTTGAGAATCCCTTGGACTGCAAGGAGATCAAACCAGTCAGTCCTAAAGGAAATCAACCCTAAAAATTCTTTGGAAGGACATGCTGAAGCTGAAGCTTCAATACTCTGGCCACCTGATGTGAAGATCTGACTCTTTGGAAAAGACCCTGATGCTGGGAAAGACTGAAGGCAGGAGAAGAGGACAACAGAGGATGAGATGGTTGGATGGACATGAAAGCCTGGCCTGCTGCAGTCCATGGGGTTGCAAAGAGTCAGACACGAATGAAGTGACTAAGCATATCCCATCGCAAGCTTGAATAAGTCTTACACTTCATAGTAGAAAATAATCAGGATTGTTGTAATAAGAGAAAGCCTTATCATTGCAGTACAATTGCTATCGTATTCGAAGTGCTTGCTAACTACTATCTGGGCAGTTAGCTCTAAACATATGTTTTTGATTTAATCTTCACAACAAACTTGTGAAATTAATGAAAAGATCCTTTTTTAATAGACACTTAAACTAATCTGACCTCATTTTAAGACAATTAAGTAAATGGTTGCTTCAAATTTTACTTTGCAGACAGTACTGAAAAGAAATAGAATAAAACAAAACAAGAAATAATCGTGAAATGATAAAATACATTTTTCCTATTATTGTGTGATTTATTTTGTAGGGAAGGTGGAAAAAGTAAGTCATTTACTTTTGCCTGCTGAATTTCCTTTTTTAAAAAATAACTTTAATTGTGCCTTATTCACAATATGTGGAAAGTACAGTTAAAGCAAAAGGAAAAATTAGAAGTCACCCACAATAACACCACTGGAAATAAACATTGAATTTTTACCTTTAAAATATTATTTTTACTAGAATAATTTGGTAAAGTATTTTATTTTTATTTTATTTTAAAGGCTAAATCTAGTGAAATGAAAATTTGTTTAAAATTGTGTCTTTCAGATAAATATTCACCAACTATGGGTGAGTTGAAAAGTCTTTTAAAATTTTGCAATAAAATGTGAAGCAATTGAATACTGTACTTCTCTTCCTGGTAAGAAATCATATTTTTCATGAAACTGCTATATTATGTCCTTGTATATAAGATAAAGGACATTCCATGTTAAAAAATAGTTGAGGAAAAAGAAGAGAGAAATCATAATTTTACTGCATGCTTTACTGATAATATTTTTAGGTCATCAAATATCTTCATTACATACAATTTTATAACGTGATTTTCTTTTTCAAAAATAGCATCTTATAGAATGAAATGAAATAGAAAATGCCTTTTGTCATCTGAAAACAAAGTGTAAATGTTTCCATATCTATTTATATGCTCATCTTTTTTGATGCCTATATGATGTTATAAAGCTATATTTTGTTTTAAAATTCCCTTAGTGATTGATATTTTTGGATTCTTTTCTCTTTTCTTTTACTGTTATTAACCATGCTGAAATGAACATCCTTAATCCTAATGTCATTTCAACTAAAATCAGGAAACCACTGAGGTGTCTATTGTAAATAGAACTGATGAAAATCATTGGAAGGAGGTGGTTCTAAAGTATGTGCTATTTTCAAAAGGAAATAATCTGTAAGCCTGCAGAACATAACAGGCAAAATTATTTTATGGTTGTATACTTAAAGTCCTTAGGAAGACTAGTAGATGACTAGTTTTAGAAAGAGAATCAGGCTACATGACTGAATTGAAGATAGACATACCAATGCATTAATCAGTAGTTTTTCTCTATACAGGTAAGAACCAGCTAGACACTGATAGAAAATCAAGTCATTCTGTTTTATGTCAATGTCACAAAATGTTTTGGGGTTACATCAGCAAGAAATATGCAGGACTTATATAAAGTAAATGATATAATCATATTGAAGAACAGAAACCAAATTCCTAAAAAAGTAGAAGATCATGCCATGTTCTTGGATGAAAGACATGGGAATAATGAAATAAATGTCAACTTCAAATTTATTTTTCAGAAACTATAACTCATCTTCCAGAAGTCAAAGGTAAGTTGATCAGAAAACTTCTGCTAAAAAGCATGTTTTAAAAAAAATTGTAAAAATGGAGAAATCAGTGGGATAATTTCCTAGTTAAAAAAAAAAAATCTTTTTCCTCTTTTCATAAAATGTAATATAGGGACTTCCCTGGTGGTCCATTGATTAAGAATCTGCCTTGCAATGCAGGTGACTGGGTTTGATCCCTGGTCGGGGAACTTAGATCCCACATGGTGCAGCCAAGAAACAAAGCAAACAAAAACAAGATGGAGAAACCACTCTGAAATTTCACTGGCACTGTCTGTTTCTACTCTTTAATTTCTGCCAATCCAATAGAAAAATACCTGATTTTAAAGTTAATATAGAAAAAAGAAGTCCAATAGTAATTAGTAATATTATGAACAAAAACAGTGCTGGGGTTGAGAAATATCAGGTATGGAAATAAACCGCAAATATAATAGTATAAATAGCTGTGTGTGTACATGCGTGTGTGTGTGTGTGTGTGTGTGTGTGTGTGTGAGGATGAGGGTATATGATGGTGGAAGAGGATGAAGAAAAGAGATATGGTGGGAGGTGGTGGTAATCATTTAATAGATAGATGCCTACATTTATGTTTCTAAGCTTAAGGTATATTTCTGGAACTGGGGTCAAATGCTGAGCAAAATTTCAAAACTGTTGATGCCATAGAAAATAGTGGGATGGATGTAGGAGTATAAAACAAACAAGTAAAAAAAAAACCGTTATTAATAGAGTTCCAACAGCTCCGCTATATTGTGTGACTCAATATTGTTCAATAAAATTGGGTCCTGATTTTGACTTCTGAGTACAAACCCCCTTCCAGACCCCAGCAGGAAAGTAATATAACATCTCAATGAACAGTCCCAGAGAGGGATGACCCGAATCTTTGTTTTCTCTAGAGGGCAAGTGTTTCTTTCCATTCCACTATAGAGATGGAATCTTCTATGACTGTGTCCAGTTCAAGGTAAAACATAAGTGGTGTTCCTTGAATGAAACTTATGAAGGATATTGGAAGTACTGTTCTGAAGAAGGTGAGAGTCTTGACTCAGATTTCAAGGTAGTGATATTGGTCTCGGAGAGTGGGGGGGCTGGGGGTGGGTGAGATCACAAGAGGGTTCTGCAAAGGGAATTCACAGTCAATTAAATTATGAAATAAGGGATGAACGGTTCTCTGACGGTCAGAAAAATCACATTGCACCAAGCATCTGAGTGCTTCGACCATGTTACCTTGAAAAGAAACCTTTCAGCAGAATCTCAATCCCTCACCAATACTGTTTGCATATGCTTATGGTGGAACAGAGCAGAGCAGATGGGAGTGGGAACGTGTGTGCATGCATGTGTGTGTGTGTGTGTGTGTGTGTGTGTGTGTGTGTGTGATGACAGAGACAAGGTAAAAAATGAAAAGTGTTCTTATTTTGATGGTTTCTCTCTTCTCTGTAGACTTTGCAAAATGTGTGTTTCCCTTCTGGTACAGACACCTCATCTACTGGGGATGTACCGAGGATGGGGATTCGTTTGGGAAAGCATGGTGTTCACTGACCCAGAATTATAACAAAGACAAGGTTTGGAAATACTGTGACTGATGGTGAGATTTATTTAGGGGAGGGCATGAAGATGTTCAATTGTTCTCATGGGAAAGATTATACAATTTTGGTTGGGAAAGGAACATGTAAGACTCTCATTAAAAGAATTTTATTCTGAGATATGAATGGAAAGTGATTGGCTGTAAATAAATCAGGATTTTGATTATGGACTATAAGGTTCTGATGTATATATATATATACACACACACATACACATATACACACATATCTTCTAGCTTCAGCACTTTAACTTGCTGATTATGTAAAATTGGGTCCTTTTAAAAAAATGTGTGGACTCTGGGTGGTAATGATGTGTCAATGTGGGTTCATAGATCAGAACCGATGTTGGGGAATTTTGATTATGGGGAGGCTGTTCATGTAAGGGGGTGCAGGTTATATGAGAAATCTCTGTATCTTCTGCTCAATTTTTCTGTGCACCTAAAACTGCTCTAAAAAAATAAAATGTATTAAAATTCATTATTTTAATACTTTTTTTAAAAACAGAAAAAATAAGCGATAATTGAGACAGGACCGAAGGTAGAAACATGGGTGTTGACTAGATGAAGTGTTGGAATGAGGCTCAGACTTCTCTGGCAGTCCAGTGGCTAACACTCCACACTCCCAGGGCAGGGGGCCCGGGTTCTATCCCTGGTCAGAGAATTAGATCCCACGTGTTGCAACTAAAGATTCTGCACGCTGCAACTAAGACCCAACATGGCCAAATAAATAGATATTTTAAAAAAAAATGAGTCTCAGACTTCCCTGGTGGTGCAGTAGGTAAGAATCTTCCTGCCAATGCAGGGGACATTGGTTCGACCCCTGGTCCTGGAGGATTCCACATGCCACAGAGCAACTAAGTCCCTGTACCACAATCATTGAGGCTGTGCCCTAGAACCTGTGAGCCACAAGTAGAGAAAGCCCGCATGTAGCAACAAAGACCCAGCACACCCAAAAATAAATAAATAAAATTATTTTTTAAAAAATCAAAATGGAGTGACTATGGCTCAAGCATTCAAATAGAGCCAGGTGGCCACTGTAGATGGATGTGGTTCCAGACACATTCCTCCATCACAGAGAACTTGAATTTTCAGACTCAATAGAAACCAGATGTAGAGGAAAGAATAGAGGACCCTAGAGTAGAGAGAGAGAAAGCCCACCACAGAGAAGGACCTGGTGGGTTTCCTTCATGTCACCTTCACCTGCACTTGTCAAGAACCAAACTTTCATTTCTTTCAGCTCTGAAGTTTTCACATACTTTGCAGTACTCATGAGCCTCTCCTAATATAATTTGCACAAAATTGCTTGTCTGTCTAAATTGCATCCCTGGTGGCTCAGATGGGAAAGAATCTGCCTGCAATGCGGGAGACCTGGGTTTGATCCCTGGGCTGGGAAGATACCCTGGAGGAGGGACAACCCACTCCAGTATTCTTGCCTGGAGAATCCCCATGGACAGAGGAGCCCGGCAGGCTACAGTCCATGGGGTCACAAAGGATCGGACATGACTGAGTGACTAAACACAGCACTGTCTAAATTAACCAACGCCAACTTTTGTGGTTTGTAAGCAAGATCCCTGACTAATAGAGCATGCCATCGGATTGAGTTTTAGTCCTCTGTTCATGCTGAATCATTTAGAGATGCAGTAAAGCACAGAAATTAAAATATGCTTACTCCCTGGAAGGGAAGTTATGACCAACCTAGACAGCATATTAAAAAGCAGAGACATTACTTTGCCAACAAAGGTCCATCTAGTCAAGGCTATGGTTTTTCCAGTGGTCATGTATGGATGTGAGA